GCCTTCTGCCCCCGGCCCCGCGGCGCCCCCCTCCTCCGGGGCCGGCCGCCTGCCCTCCCCCCAGCCCTCTCCCCTCTCCGGGAGAGGACGGAGCGAGAGGGAGGGGAAGGAGGGGGCGAGAGCAGCGTGTGGAGTCGGCCGGGGTGCTGGCGGGGGTGGGGGGCGCAGCGGTCGCTCCTGGCTTTCCACCTGCTTCTTCCGAAAGTTATGGTTTCATAATTCATGCAATGGGTGCTAATGCCCGCTCGCCGGCCGCCGTTCAGTTGCAGTACTCACAGTTCACGGGACACTGCGCGCCGCGGGCTCGGCGCCCCCCCCCAGAGTCATCCCCGCAGCGGGCGGAGGATCCCGGGCTCCCGTGGCCGCGCAGTCGGAAGGGGCCAGGCCCGCTCCGGCGGACGGGCGGTGGAGCCGGGAAGCGGCGGGGAGCGATCCTGCAGCCTCCCCTGCCTGCCAGCCCCGTTCGTCTCTGCTGCTACTCGAGTTGTGTCCAATTCACGTTCCAGCCACTCACTCCAGACCCAGCCTCGCTCCGGCTCCGGCTGCCCAGGCAAACGTGAGTCGCTCCTTGCACCAGGCGCCGGGGCCAGCAACACGCCAGTCTCAACTCCGACTCTTCTCAAGGCAGCGGGGGAGCCAGTCAACAGATCGAGAATGAAAAATCCCCGGCAGGTCGCTCCGGGCACGGTGCAGTGGAGACTACTCGCGTCACAGCGCGGTCCGCGTCTGGGTGCCCCCGGCGCGCCAACTAGCAGCTCGAGCCATCTTCAGAGACGCCCAGAGAGTCAGTCCTTTCTCACCCCCGAGAGCTCTGGTTTCTCTTTTTTCTTAACAACTCTGCGCAAGGTCATTAGTCACGAAGCCGCCGCCTGAAACCGCAGCAGCCGTTTGCCCGCGGGGGCGAGGGCAGAGCCGTGCGCACCGCGCGGTGCCCAAGTTTGGGTTCGCAGCTGCAGAGTCCGTGCCTTCCCTCACCTGCATTCGGCCCGCAAGTCGGAGCAGTGGGATCTGCAGCGCTGTGCGCGATTCAGGGAGGAGATGGGAGCCTCTCTCTCCCGGTTCTCACTCGATCCCTCCCCTCCCTTCCTCCCTCCCTCCCCCTCTCCTCCCTCCCCCTCTCTCCTCCCTCCTCTCCTTTCCCCTTTTCCCCCTCTCCCACTCGCTCTCCTGCACGCTCTCTCTCCCTCCTCTTGGTCCCAATGCAGGCAACTCGGGCTGAACTTGATCCCTTTGCAGTTCAAAGGTGAGCAAACCGGTCTCGGTGCACCGGCGGCGCTGGCCTGGCGAAAGCGCACGGCCGGGCTCTCCCCATGGCAATTAACAAAGATGCCCAATTCTGTCCGGATTTCCGAAGAAAAGCCAAAGGCATTGGGGCGGGGGGCGGGGGTGGGAGACCCCTCGTTCTAG